TCCAATAAAGCCAGTTAAAAATATATTAAAAAAAGATTACAACTTGACAGGCTTAGAGATCTTAAGCCCCCTCCCAGTGGCGTCCAGAGGCTCGGGGTCATTAACGTCAACAAGGGTTAATCCCCTGCACAGTGCACTTCATGACGGGGTCGCAGTAATTCTGGATGCAGGGCGAGTCACGGTGCCATGACAACGTTTAAACTGTTAAGTCGTTTGCAGGAATGCATAAATCTGCACATTTCTTGGGTAAAAGTTTTGGTTTTGACCTGATCCCAGCTCAAAGTCACGTCTGCAGCGCTCGCCGTGCTGCAAGCAGGAATATCCACGTTCATTTTCACAGAAATTTGCCCATTGATTTATGGGCAAGAGTTATCTGTTGCTCGTGGAGAAACGAGGAAGGTTACGTCGAGGCAGAGGAGTCGATAAAATAATTACGAACGTCGCCGCCGGCAGCACGAATATCGACGGCGATCGCGTGGCACCAGGCTGCATTTGGGATGGGTTAGCGTTCGTGTTTGGGAGCTGTGGGAGCAGACTGGTGTCACCGGTGTGGCTGTTTTGATTCGGGAGCCAGAAAGAGCTTTTGATGGCACAAACACAATCTGCTCCGTGTCACCTGAGATGTGACTTTTGACAGACAGGCAGAGGGACACGAGCTGATCCACAGTCTGCCTGACATGTAGGACAAAACATATTGAGTTTTGACACTCTGGAGGCCGCGCTCGTCACCGCGCTGTCACAACTTCCCCAGCTGCTTCGTCCCTGCAAGGTTAATGTAGCAGTGATGACATTACAGAGCGAACGTGGTGTTCTCTGCTCGTCCAGCGTTTGTTTTTTCAGTCGTCTCCTTGAAAATCTCAGTCGTTCTGCAGCAAATACGTCTCAACTTGACCTCAATTAAGGAATCCATTAGAGATGTAAATAGCTGTAAACCTGCCAACCTGATGAGAATAATCATGAACACAGCCGTCTGATTTTATCCAAAATATTCTGTGTTGGTATGTGGATACGAATAAAATCAGGTTCTTTTTCAAAGTGTAGGGTTTGAAGTAGATATCGGTCGGTATCGGTCCGATACTGACCTAAATTCCTGGATCAGATATCGGAGAGAAATAAAAAATGTAATCGATCCATTAAATATCAAAAAAGCACCTCACAAAACTTGCGACACGGCGTAACTCGGCTCATAACCGTAGCACGTTGCAGCAGTGTGGTCACGTGATAGAGCGGCTGTGTGTGTTTGTAGCGTCGCTACCAAACCAGCATTTCATCTCCGAGGAAGTTTTCCCAGAGAGAAGTAAAGCAAGTGTGTAAGTTCATTTCTGAATGTTTGTAAAGCATTCCCACGTTAAGCTTAACAACCGATATATGGAGCGACTGCCTCTTC